GGAGATTGTGTTACTATATTAATAGATTAATACTATAAGAAATAAGGATTGTTACAAGAAATGAACTATTGACTCGATTAATGATGCGACTAAATTGGTTTATTCATTTATACTGAAAAATGATTTAGGAAAATTCGCCTTGAAAAAATGACTATTAATACTTAGGGCTTAATTGTTAGCTAATTTAATATATATTTAACATTAACTAATATGTTGTATTTTCTCTATATATATATTATTTTAATCATCTTTGATTCTTTATGATTAATTGAGTTTTTTCACATTCAGCTAAATATAAATTAATAAATATACCTTTTCCTTGTTTAGATGATTAGTTATTTGGATTGATTCATATCGCCTTATCAAAATACACAATATCATTATAATCATTGCATTGAATTAAAAATAAAATGAGTTTAGCAATTTACTATAAAAGTAGAAATGTAACGGACATTTTAGATGTAAACTGACATAATTATCTGGTTAGAATTCAATGATTAGCCAAAAATCTTTAGAGCTTCTTCATATTAACCAATTGCATTTAACTCTGATTAATAATAATTGAATATAAAGATTAACCTATATTTGAAACGAATATTTAGCTTTTGAATTTAAATCTATTGACAAAGCATTATCAATACATTTTGTTGAATCATTATAATTATTAAACATATATTTTGAATAATAAAATATCCCTTTTATATATATTGAATTCATATCTCTGTCTGCCTCTGTAATCGCATCTTTGAATTATCTAGCATATATATTCTTAATAATCTTAATACTAGCATTAAACATCATGCTAATACATTTGCATACAGTTTTAATACCTTTTTCTAATAATGATTAATTCTTGAATTTTTCTTGTATTTATTTGATTAGATGCTTTAACCTGTCTCTATTAAATTTATAACATATTTAATTTCATCAAATTTGGTTAATTAATCTAAGTCTTAATGTAATTATGTATTTAAATTGTCTCTTTTTAGAGAATTACTATTTTTTCAGCTCTTAATTTAATCAAATAATTTGTTCCTTTATCTCTTCAATCATCAAAGAAAATTTTGACAATCTAATGAAAAAACTCATTTAATCCAACAAAACTAAATTCTGTAAATCCTTTGGAAAAGCTAATAATGTAAAACTCTATGTGCTTTGCTTACTTTATAGCTTGCCAATTCTAAAAAGCAATCTTATTCTGTTTAACATTTGACCCAAAGCCCTCCAAGCCAACTTATTTGATTCATAATATTAGTATTATTTTGAATTCTATTAAATTACTTCATATATGATGATTCATTTATGTAATAATTTAAATTGCTTGCCCAATAGTTCAGAATAATCACATTCAAATACCTATTTTAATATGCTTTTAATATTGATTGCATAAAATGCATTTTTACCTCATTATTTGGATAAATTCTAACTTTATTCTATATCAAAATTAAATATCTGGAAGCTTTATTCGGCAATTCTTTCAATTTAAGTACTCATATTGATGGTATTGTTGGGCATCAAGAATCCATTGAATCATATTTCCATGAGATCTTTGATAAAGCTTTTACTGCAATCCACATCTTCATTAATGCTTGATAAACAAATTTAGTTTAAATTATAAAAGGGGTAATATTAGAAAATTATTTTCGAATTAAATTATTATAATAATATTAATTTCTTCTTTTTATAATTTTATTATAATAATATCCTAATTTCTTTTTATTTTATAATTTATATTTTTGAATAAGTCTATCTGATTAATTCAGAGAATAAAACACAGAATATAGCTATTAATTGAGATTTAAATAGTATTTCCCCAAATCATTTTTTTATTATAATAAATAAAAAATTTTAAAATGTTTAATCCTCTAACAGATGAAATCATAATAAATTAAGAGAAAATATAAAAGCAAGCTCACCCTATAATAATTTGTTATAATATTTAGACAAAATTACCAATTGAGTTAAATTAGGTTTAATATACTGTTAATATTTAACCTGTTCTAACAGTAGTACAAATATATTAAATTTATTTCAACTGAGTAAAAACAAGATCAATGCTAGTTAGAAAATTTATTTTACAATAGAATAAAACTCTGGTGTAACTAATATGAATGCAAAACTTGTAAAATTAAAAGTTTTTTGTTGG